TTTGCCTCAAGACTTGTTCACCGAGGGGGGCAAGAGAAGCAATGCTGAGCCACAGCCGTGCAGACGGATGCCTGCTCTGCCTCCATACTGTAACGTGCTCCTCTGAAAGTGCCCCGATGCTGCAATACCACAGCGTTCAGGTACTGTTCTGTGGTACAAACAGAAAACCAGGAAACAGCAAGCCAAGGAAGTGCATGTGCACATTAAAAATAGCTGCGTAGTAAACCAAAGAGCAACTCCTCTGAGAGGCAGCTAACTGCTCTGCCAGAAGAGATTTTCAGACAGGCAGCATTTAGGCAATGTTTTTAATTGCTATAACAAAGGTAACATATGATGTTCCGTCCTGTGTTTGCTCATGGCTTTACGCAAATAAAGTCACATTCTTCTACCACAGTGTGAACAGCTAAGACACTAAAGGAAAGGAAGAGAAGGTCTCTTTAGTCATGTGCAATCTTTTAGCTCACCAGACAGATACTGTGCTAGGGTTTTGCTTTGTTTCTGTTTTTTTCTTGTGCCCAGCTGGGCACTATGTGCTGCAGTAGAACTGCGTGACTACAGGAGGATTTCAGCTGTCAGATGAACCAAACAGTCCTGGTGGATGCACAGAGAGTCTTGAAAGGGGCAGGAGAGCAGGGTAAGTCAGGTGAGCCTAGCTGAATTCCCTCACTTTCAGAGACAGACAGCCACACGAAACCCCCCATCTCCAGTGGAGACTTGGTCACACACGGCTTCAGCAGCGAGGTGAGCCAACCACTTCAGAAAGGCCTAGGCCCCGCTGGATGGCTGACGGATGCATTCTGCTTCCCCACAGCCAGAAGAGACCAGGCTCAGATGGCTACCCCGTGCCGGGGAGAGCTAGAGCGGAGACTGGTCAGGCGGAATTCGGGTTTCTTTCTGGGAGAGAGACCGTGACCCGCTGCACAACTCTGAGAGCAACCACACTACCGTCCTAACGAACGCCACCGCCTTCCGGGCGTCCTAAGTTCAGAACAAACTGAGCCTTTCCTCTAGCGGGGTTACGAACAGTTGTAATTTGGCACGGAATAATTGGTTGCCATGGTAACTGCTGCAGTACGGATTGAAATTCCCCCTCTCCGCTCCCTTCCCCGACAAGGACCTTCATCTCCATACCCTGAGGTTCAAACCACAGCCTGGTCATTTTATGCAGATTTTTCCGGGGGTTTGCAGCACCAATTCCTGCACCGGGGCTTCCGTCAGCGCCGCCGCAAACTGAACGAGCCCCACTGCGGCTGACGCAGGCAGATTCCCGCACAAGTGCCGCGTGGCAGCACTCCTCCCCACGCTCCCATGACAAAACCACGGGGGACAACAGGATGTCAGTCAGCCATGGCGTAGGCACTGGCCCCACATCACAGGCTTGCACCTCACCCCCACCATCCTCTAGCAGGGGGACAGTCCACTTACCCCACAAAACACTTGAGGAGGAGTTTAGGAAAAGGAAGGCCCATTCAAGGCACCCCTATCTTTTATCTCCTCATGCCAAGGGCAGCCTGGGTGCTGCTCGGTACCTCTCGACAGCTGCCGCACCAGCTTCCCCCTGGCTTCGATGGACGAGGGAACAGTCTCCCACAGGCAGAACCCAGGTTGGTTAACACTGCCCACACCAGGCATTAATTAAAAAAACAAGCGCACTCGATGTTCAGCCTGTTATTTTCTCCCCACCCCCAGTAAGGCAGCAGTCAGGCTCGGCACAAGCTGCACACGTTGCTGCTGGGCTCAGGCAGGCTTGCACTGAGAGAAAATGAACAGAGGTGAAAATACCACAGGGTTTTATTTTATTCCCCCTCCCGCCCCAAGAAAAGCAGCATAGGAAAAAACTGCGTCCAATGATGGAAGAGGCACAGGGAGGCAGAGGGCCTGAGCCAGCTTTGCGTGGCATCTGCAGAAAGAGAACACCACCATGGCCACGAAGGAAAAAAGCTTCCTCGGGGCCGCAACTTCTGCAAAAGGCTGGCAGGTAACGTAGCGCAGGATGGAATCAGCTTTCTTTAAATCAGCAGCTCATCATGCTCCCATCAGTAGCAAAAGCACTTTAATGCACTATCTCGTCTAGCCAATCTGTTTTTACAAATCCCACGGGGAGTGGCTGGAGGAGGGGATGACTGAATGAGATCAGCATCATTCAGCCCTGGTTTGGCAAGGGGAGGGGTGAGGATGCGTCTCGTTGTGCTAGATGAGTGACTTCTCCCCAGCCACAGCGTCACTGGGAAGGAAGGGGGCTGAAGAACCTCTGCTGTTTGCCCTTCCTTCCCAGCAGCCTATTTGCATTTAATCAGCAAAAGGGCCAGCGCACAAGATGTCTGCTCCTGTCCTTGCATCCAGCGCTGCCCGGGGACGGGAGAGCGAGAGGCAGAGCCTGCGTGGCGCAACGTGGCAGCAAGCCCAGCTCCAGGACCATGACATGTCTGAGCCGGCTGCCCTGGCAGAGCACAGGCAGTGCCGGTCAGCCTTCCCGGCCAGACAGTGGACCCCCCAGTGCAGCCTGGGGAAGGCCTGATCCTCGAGGACACGATGCCTCATCTTTCTTTTCCTATGGAAGGCCCAACAGCCCTTCCATGTGCCAAATCCTAGAAGCCCCTACACCGTCTCACTTGCAAAACGCCCTGGACGAGCACGGCTGGCACTGATGTCCGCAGAACCCCTCCAAGCCATGCCCCAGTTGCGCCCCCAACATGGCGGTTTGCATCTCCCTCCTCAGAAACCAAGCCCCAGACACTGCGTCGCTACAGAATGTGCCAGAAAGATTTACTGCCCACCCCCAGAGATAACGGCAAGGAGGTGCTGCGCTGCAGCACAGGCAGGAGGGCTTCAACAAACGGGGACGGACGGGACCATCGCACACACCAACAT